ATTATATTATTATTAATTATATAATTTATTTTTAATATAATTATTATAATTATATATAATTATTAATATAATTTATTAATAATCAATATATATATACATATATATATCATATTATAATTAAATATAATATACATAATTATAAATCATATTATAACGTAAATAATAATTAATAAATATAAATGATATTATATCATCTAATTAAACTTTTAACCAAATATTTCGATAAAAAATGTAATTTATTTGCAAAAATCACATCTACTTTTGTCAATAAATTTACGAAACTTGCACAATTACTTTTTGGACATTTCCCAAGTGACTACTTTTAAGTAATGCGCAATTAACGTTGTACCGATAAACAAGAACATTGACAATTTGTTTCAATAATCGGTGATACCGATGTATACGTTAATGACGAATAATTTTTTACCGTACTAATTATCGTTATTTGCCAATAAACAACCTTGACAAACAAATATTACGAAAGTTTGCGATTCATCTTATTACGAAATAATATCGCGAGCAATTCGAGCTAAACGAACGCTCACTTTTCGTTTTAAAGTATTACATGCTTCGTTATAAGCTCTCACCAATGCGTTTAATGTTTCTTTTTCTTTCTTTTTTTTGTTTTTTTTTTTTTTTTTTATTATAGCAAACGATAGTTCACCGATATGAGTAGATGATTACGAAAGTATGCGGCAAGTATTCTTACAAGTATACTTATGCTAGTATGATCACAATAGGACTCCATCAGACCTTGAAAACATTGATTGTTTTCAAATTTTATGTACTTTTGCAATAGAATGTCCATTAGGATTACATTTAATTGAATCATAAATAACTTCCGTTTTTTTTATGAGACAAAGAATGGCGTTTCTGCGACTGATAAGTGCAGGACACTTTTCATGGAGTTTTTTTTTTGCATTCTTTGTATTTGTTGGACGCATCTACTAGATTTTGCTCCAAAATTACCTTTAAAAGGTTCGTCAAAGTTGGAAAGACGTCCTTGCACTTGGTTCATCTTTTAAGGTCGTATCTCCACAACGAAATTTTACAAACCAATTTTTGACTGCCCTATCAGTTATCAGCCCTGCACCCTATATGCTGCATATTTTTTCAGTTGCCACCTTAATGCCATTGCCATGTTTAAATTCCTAAAGCATTACATGTCCAATATGCACTTTTTACTGTCCATTTAAGAGGTTAAGAAAAACGGTTAAATGTAACATTGATTACATCAAAAAGTTGACAGAAGATTAACTGAATCCTCATCTATATAGTGATATCGAAAATCCGTTTGTTTCGGTGACTTATAGTAGGTAAATACGAAAAATAGATTCTACATAGCTGCATCGGAAGTTATTTATGACTCGACATAATATATATAATTTTGTTAATAAGACATTTTTCTAATTGTTTTTGTTTTTTTTTTTCAATTTAGTTGCATACTGCACGATGTTAGCAGCTTCGCAATCTGAATCGGAAAGGTAAAAAATACGTAATAAGATGAATGACGAGCCAGTACTTGCAAAAATCTTAAAACAATTAGATACAGGAAAAGGTGATGACGATGCGGATGAAACAATGGAAGTTAGAGCACAGCGTAAGAGAAGAGAAGAAAATGAAGACACTGGAGGTCCTGGAGGTCAAGTCCAAGGAATCAGAAATTTAATAGACTTGGAAGATTTAATATTTGCACAAGGAAGTCATTTTATGGCAAACAAGCGTTGTCAATTGCCTGATGGAAGTTTTAGGAAACAAAGAAAAGGGTATGGCTAAAGTGATAGATAGATTATCAATCAATCAATTCCTATTTACATGAAATAATTAATAATTAATTAAGGTTCAATGACTCTCTCTTCCTCTTTATATATTATCATTTATATCTTTGTCTTTATATATTTTCAGATATGAAGAAGTTCATGTACTTGCTTTAAAACCCAAACCATTTGCCGAAAGTGAGAAACTTCTGCCGATCGAAGATTTACCAAAATACGTTCAACCTGCTTTTGAGGGTTTTAAGATATTGAACAGAATTCAAAGTCGTTTATATCAAAGTATATTGGAAAGTGATGAAAATTTATTATTATGTGCACCTACTGGTGCTGGTAAGACAAACGTTGCTCTACTTTGTATGATGCGTGAAATTGGCAAACACATTAATGCAGACGGCACGATCAATGCGGACGAATTTAAAATAATTTATGTTGCACCAATGAGTTCTCTCGTACAAGAAATGGTTGGTAATTTTGAAAAAAGATTGTCAACTTACAATTTAACTGTTTCGGAATTGACCGGAGATCATCAACTGACTAGAGAACAAATAGCTGCGACTCAAGTAATTGTTTGCACACCAGAAAAGTGGGACATCATAACGCGTAAAGATGGTGAAAAGACATTCACCTCATTAGTAAGATTAATTAATTAATTAATTAATTTTCAATATTTCGATCCAAAAATTTGGTCATATATTCATTACATATCCACAAATATCTCCTTAAAAAATGAAAACATTCCATGGAATAGTTTTCTTTAAAAAAAATTCCGAAAAATCATCTATTTTTCAAGCGGTCACACAGTGGTGTTCCTTAACTGTTTCAAAGAAAACGAGAAAAGAAGTTTTCACCTGTATTCTTATATACCAGTTCACAGAATATGTAATTCAGTAGCAGTGCGAACATGTTTAAACGATATCCCATAAAACTACATTCGATATTGGCTAACTCGAATTACTAAGCGTCATCGATGAAATGATTGTTCGCGAGGTGAAACTTAACCTATATAATATAATATAACACGCACGATGCTAATGCGCAAATTGGATCGTAAAACGTGAATTTTCTACCAGAGTAAAATGAAACGTTAAACCATTACGCAGCTACTTGTTTCAACCTATACAATTTTGTATCATTAAAATGCAACTTTAGTTTGTATCGTATATTTGACTACAGCACGCATATCGTGTTGTTCCTGTATTTCTATGTGAACGATGTTGAATAACTTCCACTTCCTTATACTTTTCTTTTCTACGATATTTCTAATAAATGTTATTAGAAAATAATATAGTACATGCAAGTATATATATATATATACACATGTGTGTGTGTGTGTATTCCTTTCTTCAACACTAGATATACCAGACCAGTCATTTTGACCGGTCGGGCCATTTTAATTCAAAATTTCTACTTCATGTAACAATTGATTTCTGTAAATAATTTAAAAATGTCTACAAATCCAATTATCTATTAAAATTATTATTAAATATTTTTTGTTATTTTTTTAAGAGTAAATAAAAACTGGAAGCATGAAGACTAGACAAGGAGCACGAACTCAAACGTATTAATTGGCAAAATCTGTCCACGCAAATTATATATATTTAAGTTTTCTTGGTTCACCACTAGTGTCGCTAATGTTCCTTTTGTACTGTTTTGAATATAGTAACGTACAGATGCGTGAAGTGAGCAAATAGTTCTTAACCCTAATATTTGTATATAAACACAAAATATTAACAAAAATAAAATATTAAAAATAAGATTAATAAAATATGATAAATATAAAAATGGGCAAGGTGTGCGCAGTTAAAAATTGCAATAGTGGGAATGCAACTGATCTCATACGAAGATGGGAATTGAATTTAAAAAAACCTATGTTTTTTAAAGTACCAAAGGTATTAGTTCGTGCTCCTTATGTAGTCTCCATGACTATTAGTATTAGTATTTTACTTATATTTTTAAATTTGTATTGTAAATAATTATTGAAAAAATACAATAAAACCTGACTGAATTTTATTATCAATAACATTTACATTTAATACTATTTTTTTTTCTAAATGATTAGGATTTAATCTAAATTTATTATTATTATTATTATTATTATTATTACTATTTACTCATTTTTTTATGATTATTAAATAATTATTTATTTAATTTCAATTATTTATACTTGAACAACCTAAATGATTAACCTTAGTTTCGTATTATAATTTTTTGTTTAAATTGCTGCCTTATTCCCCTTCTATTTTCGTACAAATTAGGGACCCTGTAGGAGGGACGCGCCAAAGAATTGGGGGGGGGGGCAGGAACTTATGTAGTCACGTGATTGCGTGCGAATGGATCAAACATTTTAAATAGTATAAAAGTTGTATATAGTAATAGTGAATAGTGTAGGGGGTAGAGTGGTGAATTGGTTTGAAAAAATTATGAAATAATATGAATTGCATCAAATACAGACAAAAAATGAACCATATTTAATGATAATTAAAAAATTTATATTAAAATAGAATAGGTTAGACAAAAAAAAAATTATTATAAATTCAAAAAGAAAGATTCAATTAAGTTTGATTTGATAAAAGGCATTACAGTATTTTGAAATTTCTAAACAACTTGTAGGAATTTATACAATTTTGATAAATACAATTATCTACTATATATATATTATATTAACAATTATTTTAATCATTCGTACAATTTGTTTTTAATTTCCAATATTAATAAATCAGCTAGGATTCGTGGGTATTATATCTTCATAACTAACCACAGCCGTTATTTATACATACTAAAGATAAACATGGCTGCGCGTTGCATCGGAAGCTGTCCCCCAAAATTTTCAGCCAATAGCAACCCCAGCAATATGTATGGCGCGTCCCTCCTACAGGGTCTCTAGTACAAATAGAACACGAGTGCCCTCCTATTTTTATATCCCATTTGTATACATGGAGTTCATGCTCCTTGTGTAGTCTCCATGACTGGATACCTCAAAAAGCATTTTTTTTTTTTATACATCAGTCATTTTGACTAGTGTGGTAGAAATACTAAAAATGGCGGTATAAGTAGTGTTAACAATTAGACGCAATAAGAGTTATTTTTCTTTTTTTTTAAATATAAATAGAGTCTTCGAGTATGACAATGATAAATCACTTTTTTGTTATCTTTATACAGGTTGTACAATATAAGATAAAAAAGAAAAATATAAGAATCAGGTAGATAATAGGATTAATAAAGTTATCGGTATGTTTCCATTGAATTTGTACACGTACAAATCTTGATTGACGTAGTAAATCTAATGAAAATACTTTTACGATTCTTTTAATAGAAACAATCGATCCAGAAAATAAAAAGTAATTTAAAAATTTACAAACAAAGAGAAACACGAGTTTATAAATTAAACCGAAAGAATTATTATTATTATCAGCGTTGTGTTGTAAGTAAGTTGTAATGGTAGGAATTTTCTAATTAACGATATCTTTTTGCCATATCTAATCAGCTTTTTCTTTTTTCGTTATCTCTAATCTTTCATCAGAGATCTTTTTTTTATTTTTTTTGATTCTGAGTATAAAACAACAAACAATAAAATAAAATAAAATAAAACGTTCAGCGTGAATCGATGGAATTTCTTTCGTACGGGCCCAAAAATTTGCGATAAGTTGAAAAAAATGGTTAAAAGATATATGAATTGATTTTTCAATAAAAATAAGGGCTCACCTTGTGATTTCTCGGCGTTCTTGATAGATTGCTACGACCATTGATAAGAATATTATCATTGAGAAAGGAAACATCGCAAGGGGATGGTGGTCCACCCGAAAGTTCCCATTCAGAATCGTCAGTCGTCGAAGCATCCAAAGTAGCGTCGAGAACTATAATACTACCGTCTCCAACCTGAAAAAATATAAAGATAAAAATTAACATTGAAATAATAAAAATGTCTTGGAAAGATGATAAAATTAAGATGAATACGCCATTTCATTAACACGTTCCGTGCCAAGCCTTTTCTACCTGACTTGTCATTCAGGCCATTTAATTTTGCTTTAACAAAATCAACCATTACATGTAATTATTAATTATTGTAAATATAACAATTAAACAAATTTATGTACATTGTTCTATACTGCATTTTATACAATGCATCAATATTTTAATAGGAATATTTTTAGCGCATTAAATAAATATATCTAATGTACCACCGGTGGTACACGTGGCCTGAAGAACAAGTTTAACGTGTACCACCGATGGTACACACGTGGTACGGAACGTGTTAAAAAAACTAAGATTGTTTAGTAAAATGCTGAAAAATGAATATGTTATCTGAAAGTAACACGGACCCATAGAGGGCTAAAGTCGTCCAGTAACTAGAAAAAGTTACTATATAGTTTAAAATTTAAATAATAAAGATTTAACGTATATTAATAGAAAATATTAATCTTTTAATAACAATTATAATATATTTAATATCGTATTATAAACATAACCTTAATTTAATTAATTAATCGGCCCGTCCGATAGAATTATGGAGAGTAGATGTAAGGAGTCAAATCTCATATGGGAGAAAATTTGAAAAAGTGTTCAGCGTATGCTATAAATAACAGTTCAAAAACCTTCCAGAATGGCGCTGGTGTAGACAAAGAGTATGGTATGAATGTAGCAATTGTAAACGAATTGAAGTATGTCGAGTTAAAAAATTTAATATTATTGGCGACTAAAGTAGTATGGAGGGTAGATGTAAGGAGAATCATCTCATATGGGAGAAAATTTGAAAATGTGTTCAGCTGTATGCTATAAATAACAGCTCAAAAACCTTCCAGATTGGCGCTGGTGTAGACAAAGGGTATGGTATGAATGTAGCAATTGTAAACGAATTGAAGTATGCTGAGTTAAAAAATGTAATATTATTGTCGACTAAAGTAGTTAATTATTGAAAATTTCAACTACTTGCGTAGTACAAAATAATGTAGTAAATATAACCTTAAAGAATTATTATGATAAAACGTTTAGCTAGAGTGATTTTATTTCGTGAACTGTGAATAGTACGTTTATTGATTTTTTATCATTGAATTTTATGAAAAAGTATGTGAATAACAAAACAGTTATGGGTAAAATTGTGTCGTTGTGACAAGTTTTTCTTTCCTTGTTTATTTCTCAATCCTACTCTAATAATATTTGGCGCTTCCTTTAAAATTTACCCTGATGCTAATGTGGCGCCACCCTAATTTAATGCATTTCGACGGACACTTCTTTTCATATACACAGATAATTCTCCTTACCTCAACCTTCCATATTTCTTGCCAAACCAATATTTGAATAATCGAAATATGATATAAAAATCAGGAAAATTACTTACTAAGGATGCATCCCAAGAACAAAAAAAAAAATGTAAGTGTAAAAGAGTTATATCCTCTCTTTAAAGGAATAGTTTAAAGGAGCGGCAATGAACCTGAGTATAGGGTCCCTGACTTCATGAGAAATTCCCAGGACGTTTCTACCTATTATTCCGAGAGTAAGAGGGTATCACTCTGTTACAGGTAGACCTTGAACCTTCGGAGAGAGTCCAACGACAACGACAACGACAAAGAGACACCACCACAGCCAAGAAACTTACGATCACCTAACGATCTAACGTGTAAATGTTAACTTTTATAGATAAAAGTATGTTTACACATTTTTAGGATATCAAAGAAATGATATCCAATTACAAATTTACATATTCGAAATTACAGGTTGTCCTTGACTTTCGAACATTCTATTCTCGTAAAATTCACTATTACGCACATTTTTAAAATTCATTTGCATCATGAATAGAATTAGTTTTCCTTGTTTAAACATCTGTGACAATCAACTTATGACTGACTAGGTATTACCACTGTTCAAATGCTCGAAAGCACTTAACACGTCTCTTTAACTTCATTATGTATACATATTGATAGATAAATATTTTAAAACATAGTTTTTCATGCATATTTTTTACATTCCTTTACTTTCGAATATTCAACGTTCGCACACACTTTAGGAACCAATTATACTAAATTACTGTATACTAAATTACTCATACCAAAGATCTGTAACAATCTGTAACAGATGAATATTTGGGTAATCGTAGATTTTTGTTGTTGTTAAATCGACTTTTTACAAAATAGAAATAAGTTTAAGGGAGAGAGAGAGAGAGAGAGATCGTTGGTTGGCTGTTTAAAGTTTTTTCTGAATCGCGACCGGTTCCACGTATATGTAGGAAACATCTATTTGTGTCATCTCGAGCGTCGAAGCGATGCGAATGTGAAATACTCGGAGGGAAGCCTACCGTATCGAGTTCGTTCTTCCCCTCGATTCCAAAATATAATCGTAATTCTATGGAAACATCTACAATTCTCAAGAATTTCAACATTATACTGTATTATACAGAGTGTGTAATAATAAACACATAACACTTTTTCACGATTTTTCAAGTACAGGTAACCCTTCTATTTACCTACACGGTAAATAGATTCTTAGAAAATACCGTGTTGTGTGAAACCCAAAGCCATGAGTCAAAAACTTTTGTTTTCTCATGGAGGTGTAGAGAAATACTTTCCGCAAATACTTTATCTTTAACTAGTTGAGCGCCACGCGAATTCTTAGGGAAATTCCTGTCAGGCCATAGGCGTTACTTTGTATTGAAAAAATAGTTGAACGTGTCAGTCACCCGTGACGGACGCGGCCTAAACGGAAAGTCTAGTGTCAGCCACCGATGACTGACGTGGCGCTCAACGTGTTAAAGGGTTAATGTTTCTACCGCATCCCTGAATCGCTACAGCACCCACTTTGAAAATCACTGGTATATATTATCTACGATCGAGGATTTTTGATAGAATAATTGTTTTACAGCTATTCGATTTCGATCTTGAAGTACAGCCAATTGTCGAAGTAATCGTTGGTAAGACTATTGAGCAAGCTTTGATCGAGGTCTTAGAGGAAGAAGAAGTGGCAGCTTTACGAGAACAACAAAGAAGATTCCGAGAATTACGAGCTGCTGAGAAAGCTGAAGCAAACAGATTGAAAGAACAAGAGAGAAGACTTCGAGAGGAAAAAGTAAGAAAATATTCGTTGTATTGTTATTTCATTAACGATTACTACTATTTATATTTATAACTTATTAGTCAAAATAAGTCAAATATTACAGTTATTACCTATATAATAGAGAAGATATAAATATAAATCTTGAATGATTTTTAATTAATCTCTAATTTAACACGTTGAGCGTCACGTTCATTTTTAAGGAAGTCCCCGTCAGGCCACGCGCGCCACTTAGATGTATCATGTTATACGTTGTCAGTCATTAATGACTGACGTGGCCTAAACGGAAAGTCTAGTGTCAGCCACCGATGACTGACGTGGCGCTCAACGTGTTAAGATGGCAAGCCTCGACGTGACTGTAAAAGTACAGTGTTGTACAAAGATTTTTTTTTGAAAGGAAACCGTGTTATAGGATGTCGTGTTGTTGGAGGTCTATTTGTACTTGCAATAATCAGACAAAAAAAAGTAAATAATACTTTAAACAAAGGTTCGACAACAATTTGTTCTTTCTTTTAAATGTCCGTATTAATGCGAATTCCACGAACTAGTATACCATGACAGTATTCATATGGATGTGACCTTGAAAGCAAATAAATCACTTGTTGACATTTTTTTCTTTGTTGCTGTGTATTGTCGACAGTTCTTAGTTAAGTTTATAGTAATATCACATTTAGTCAAGGTTCATGAATAGAATGTAATTTACAGTCCCTTAATAATAAATACACATTAATATATATATATTTATACATATATATTCCGCTCATTGAAGCGGATTATCAATTTTTGTTGAAATTTTCGTATATTTGTTTTCATGTAAAATCTTTGGGAAATGTTTATGAAAATAAAAGAAGATAAAAAACTCTGTCAGTGTTTCTGTCGTCTGCCCCAAATACCAAAAATTACAAGCAGTTGATAGGCTCGTGAAAGGATCGTTGGAACGTAATATTCCTTAGAAGGCAAGCCGAGTTTAGGAGCGAGGCTGAAAGGCGCTAACGGATCTCACTCTCTCTTTACTTGGTTCTAGCTGGTTACTCTAGGACAACCATGTATGTGGATTCCGCGTAATAGTTGTGTGTTGGAATGTCACCGACGAGGGGCACAACGAAGCTACAACGAAGGCACTTTTAACATTAGATTTACGGGCATTGCCTGTATACCTTTTCTTTTTTTTTTTTTTTTTTTT